ACAACAATATGCTATCCTACAGAACAAGTCTACCACAACTATTTAGTAAACAACCATTTATCAAACATCTATTTAGCAAACAACTATACAGCTACTCATATCGAGAATTACCTTGCCCGACAACCATCCATATTGTGGAGTTGGCCACATTTCTTTAGGTGTCATCAACGTGAGGTAGAAATCAACCCCTGCAATTGATTCGTCGAACGGGTTTTCCCTAATACAATAATTTAAAACACTTACTCTACGGAAGTCCTTAAATAATAATCTACTAATTTAATGAAGAGGAATAATATCCTTTAAATGCAAGACAAAGATCAAAACACTTACAAATCTTTCTTGATGTATTGGAGCAAGCAATTTAACTTTTGCTGTTCGACCTTCTCAAATGGGTTGTAATGAGCCTGCCCATGAGATACAGCACTAATCATTCTACGCACAACAGAACTCCCTGCAAATGGTGAGTTTTGAGTGTGCGAAATGACACGGGGTCTTGGCTTTCTGCCGGATTCTTGGTCAATGACGGTGGGAAGTGCCATAAGCCTCTCCAACGCTAGGAGTTTCGGGTCGTCAGGTTCATCAACCAGCTGTGGAATCTTAATTTGCTCTCGTCGAGGCGTCACATATACTTGATCATCAATAACCTCTGTCGGTTTCGCCTCACCCTTACAGCCTTCTACTTTCACTTTACGGAGGATCTTAACTTTGATCTTCGGATTCCTAATCACTGTTGCTTTTGGAAACTGAGGATCAGACGTATCCTGCATCTCCACAGTCCATGACTGTTGAACCATAACCCAATTAGTACATTGTTTAGACTTATCATTTCAATGGTAGATTTGTTATAAAAAATTTAAACTTAATTAAAATTTGAAGCATTATTTTAAGCAAAATTCCGATTCAGCAAACTTGTCAAATATGAAATACAAGAAAAAACATCTGAAAGACCATAGTTCATAATAAACAGAGGAAATAAATACTACAAATCTGCAAACTTTGGTCCAAAAAGTCTACCATCACTAGTTTCAAAATGCATAAAAACACAACACCCTAGAAGAGAGACTTGCGTACCCGATCCTTCGTAACCGCGGGTTCATTTGCTTTTGATTCGGCATCTCCAGCCGGATTTGCTCCCTTAGGTTCTACCTCTTCCGCAATCTGAACATTATCTTTAACCCCACCCACAAATGTAGTCACCCTCTGGTCTATAGCGTCAATTTTGGATGATAATACCTTAATTGCCTGTAAAAGCGCATCACTCCCGCTTCTATTCTCCTGTGTTGTTATCCTCTTCTTTACCTTCTCAACAAACTGACCTACCGGCATGTCCAACTCTTCATCCTCACTACTTTCTGCCTCCGTCACCATCACTTTCTTCTTTTCTTTCTTCTTCTCACACGACGCACTTTCTTCATGTCGCTTCTTCTTCCTTTTAGGCACTTCTACAAAATCATTATCACTTCCCTCAACACTACTCTTCTCCTCCTTCTTCTTACTCCCCTTCTTCTCCCTCTTCTCCTTCTCCTTCCCCTTTTTCTTATCCTTCCCCTTCTCCTTCTCCTTTGAATTGCTGTCAACTGTCTCCTCCCAAACTGTCTCATCTAAACATCCATCAAGAATATCAATTAGCATATTGTGAAGCTTTGGATCCACGTCTGGCGTTGACTCCTCATCTGGCCAAAACGGATATATATCCTCTCGAGGAACCTCGACTAGATGCCTCACCCTAACCTGCAGACAAAGATAGATAAGTCAAAATCATAATGCTAAACAATTTTGCACGAATACATAAAACAAGTCTACCACAAGTAACAAGGCTACCACCACGTATATATGTCTAATACTAACAAGTCTACCACCACGTATATATTTATATATGTCTAATACTAAAATGTTTACCACCACGTATATATATTTATATACGTCTAATACTAAAATGTCTACCACAAGTGATACTAACAAGTTAGCCACATAAGTGAACTGAAATGAAAATCTAATATATGATAAATCATATCTACCATCATAAGTACAGTTCATATCATATTTTGACGATAACTAATGTTATAACTACCAAAATACTACATTTGTATGGAAAACATACCTTTTGTCATCGAATCTGCTTTTTTCTTCCTCCAAAACTTTCTCAAGAATATATCTCTCCCTAGACGAACGCCAACGAAGTAGGGGATACGGTAAAGTGAGCGGATTGTTCTCAAGTTTGCCAAATTTTTCTCCCAAAATCGGAACCGACTCATACACCCATATAAGCAGCGCATGCACACATCCATGAAAGGTGTAGCTGTTTCCTCCTAAAGATGCCACTTTGATGGACGTAATCATCTCCTTAAAACCGACACGCCCCCATGGATAACTCTCAAAAGCTTCGTCATCCATAACTCTCTTCGCACAGTTAAAAGGAAGACGACTATTCCGATTAATACCGATTATCCCAACGTGCAGTATGAACAGAAGCGCAACCATCTTCTTCTTCTGATACGACCAAGTTTTGCATCTTTCAAATACCTCAACCAACTCATGCCAATTTGGCCCTACACCTGCATTCACGCCAAGCTCTTCCCAGAACTCGTGGTGATCTATGTCCCACGGCTCATCCCCAACGGGCTGACAGTTAAGCCCGGTTATCACTTCAAACTCGTGAAGCGAAAACCGCACTGGACGCCCACTGATAAGTGCCCAAATCTCGTAACTTCGATCAATAGCCAGTTCGTTTGTTACTATGTTATGGACCGTTTTTGCTGCCCATACGTACTTCTTCTCTGCAAGACTCAATACCACTCCTACTTGGGAACTGTTCCTTATGTCATTGTAGACCTCCTCACCAACAGCCTCCTTCAACATCCCAAAATCCGTCAAATGACAATAGTTGTTCAAACTCTTCTTCTGTACAGGAGATTTCCCCGGGGGAAACAATCGGGGTGGGTATTTCAGCTTCGTCGCGCTTGAAGATGCCATCAAGTAGCTGCAAAAGTGAACACATATATCACAATCAAGTTTACCACAGCCAAATTAAGTCTACCACCAAACAACCATCAAGTCTACCAACAAGTTTACCATCACACAACAAGTCTATTATCATGTTTACCATCGCAAAACAAGTTTACCACTAAAACAACATGTTTACAATAACTCAAAACGGCAGGCACAAAACAAGTCTACCATCATGTTTACCATCGCAAAACAAGTTTACAATAACTGCAAACGGCACAAAACAAGTTTACCATCATGTTTACCATCGCAAAACAAGTTTACCATCATGTTTACAATAACTGAAAACGGCATAAACAAGTCTACCACCACATATATGTCACCGAGCAAACAAACAAGTCTACCACCACTAGGAAAAGTCTACCACAAAATAACCATCAAGTCTACCAATACGTTTACCATCACAAAACAAGTCTACCACCAAACCAGCATGTTTACAATAACTGAAAACGGAAAAAATAAAAATCTAGTTACCTTTTCACGATTCACTTTCTCAATAGTCACCGGATTCTGTCGCCTACTCGTCGTTGTTGTCCTCACCGGATCTCTGTTAACTGCAAGGAAAAAAAATTGTCTGTTGAGAAACTTGACAATAAGTCTACCAAAACAACAAATTCGACCAATAATAAGCTAATAAGTCTACCGATTAAAAGTCTACTATCAAATAAATTAATCCGATTACCTTTACCAAGCACTTTCTCTAACGACACCCGATTCCGTCGCCTTCTATTCCTTGTCCTCGTCGGAATTCTGCTAAATAAAAACAAATTTCCGGTTAAAAATTTCGACATTAATCTAGCTAATAAGTCTACCGATTAAAAGTCTACCATCAAATAAATTAATCCGACTACCTTTACCAAGCACTTTCTCTAACGACACCCGATTCCGTCGCCTTCTACTCCTTGTCCTCGCCGGAATTCTGCTAAATAAAAACAAATTTCCGGTTAAAAACTTTGACATTAATCTAGCTAATAAGTCTATCGATTAAAAGTCTACCATCAAATAAATTAATCCGACTACCTTTACCAAGCACTTTCTCTAACGACACCTGATTCTGTCGCCTTCTACTCCTTGTCCTCGCCGGAATTCTGCTAAATAAAAACAAATTTCCGGTTAAAAACTTCGATATTAATCTAGCTAATAAGTCTACCGATTAAAAGTCTACCATCAAATAAATTAATCCGACTACCTTTACCAAGCACTTTCTCTAACGACACCCGATTCCGTCGCCTTCTACTCCTTGTCCTCGCCAGAATTCTGCTAAATAAAAACAAAATTCCGGTTAAAAACTTCGACATTAATCTAGATCTACAAATCTGAAACCAAGGTTACCATCAATAAAAACCATAGATCTACAAATGGAGACAAATCAATGGTGAAGGATCTTCTATTCACTCGCCGTGAAACAAAGCAGCCGTGAAACAAAGCAGCCCTCAAATGGACGCCGTCTGTCGTAAGTAGACGCCGCCGTAAGAAAAGATGTAGACGCCGCCGTAAGAGAAGATGTAGACGCCGCCGTCGCAGGTCCGGGAAGCTCGGGAGCTCTACCTTTGCTCCACCGTCGGTGCTCTTCACCGCCGTAATCGGGGATTTTGAGTTTCTTCAAATCGGGCACCGTCGGTGCTCTTCTTTTCCCTTCGCGAAGTGATTCTTTTTTTTTTTAGGTTTTGTTGTTTTTTTTTTTTTTTTCAAAAATCTTTCTTTTATCAATTTTATTATTTTTGATTATTTTTTTTATCAAAATGGCATTTTCGTTATTATATCTAAAATTTGGATTTTGATGTCTTTGCACAATTTTGTAAGGTTATTTTAGTTAATAAGTTGTATGAGGATGTTATTCTAGTCAATACCGATTTTAAAAGGTTATTCTAAGTAAATAATTTTATTATTTCTTCACTTTTATTTGAATAAAGTAAACACGCGCCAAAAAAAAGAAACGGTATAAACGGTAAATTTAGAATCTTACGAGAGCTCTTTTTTTTGAACAAAAAGTCCTACGAGAGCTCAAAGTTAAGTTCTTTCCCCTTTTTGATGAGAAGGTAAGGAATAAGCGTAACAATCTTGTCACCTTGTGGATTAGGCAATTCAGCTTCTAAAGGTATACGTTGAAGCATCATGGATTTGTTTAGTCGTTCGTACCTGTTCATCACTTCAGTCACTTGTCCTCTCTCATTATTGAACATACACTTCCACGTTTCGTCTCTGGATTGAGTCGTCTTCTTTGCTCTGGCCAATGCACGGCGCAAGACCCCGATGGCTTCACCTACTTGCCCTTCTGATTCCAAGCTCTCCGCTAAGTGTTTTTCGCTCTTAAGCTCATGTAAAGCTCCCAACGTCGATACATAATCCTGAATTGGTATCAAACCTATGAGCAAGAAACTCGATACACGAACATACTCGAAATTCTTTCAAGATTCGGTACTTACCAAGAAGCGAGACGAGAGCTCTTTAGCTTGAATGTTAGTTTTGGATAAGAGAGAAGCATTGGCTTCAGCAACAAATTGTGAGACGCCGTAATGGAGTTTTGCAAGTAGATTTGCACTTTTCCCCTTTTCTTTAGCCTTATTCGCCGTCACAGCCTGTTTTGCAAATGTTTAGCAGTTGATTTCGTAAGTCACAAGAAACCAAATTTTGGTGGAAGCAAAGTGAGAAAACATCAAAACACTGACCTGCCCTTCAGCTAAACAGAGGAGTCCCAAGGAGGAGCAAACCGAAGATGTCAATTCCGGAAACTTCTCAATAGGCACCCAAGTTGAATAATCAGGATGACCTAACTTAGATAGATGATCAAAGACACCAGCTGCTTCTCTATAAGCCTTTGCTGATTCCACCATATCTGCTTTTAGTCAAATAGAAAGTAAGTATAAAAAACATCGATAAGCCATGCCAAAAAGAAAAGAACAAAATGGTTATGTATCAAGAAAAAAAGAAGATAACCTGTGGAGACTAACGCAATTGCTTTCTCCCTGAGCTTTAGAGCGTAGATAAACAGTACCATATGAAGCTCAAACATAATACTACAAACTTGGAAGAATATTGGAGATTTAAGTATACTCGTAAGGCTTAGACCACTTGAAGGCTTACAATGTAAGTTCAAGGCGCTGCTCCATCGTATCTTGAGAGCTTTAATGAAACGAGAGTTAATCTCACGATTACAAGGCTTATTCAGGTTGTCTATCAGATTTTGGAGTGAAGGAAGATACTCTTCGATTCTAACAAGATCCTGAAAAACAAAACAAAAAAAAAAACAAAAAACAAGAATAATACGTACTTGTTGCTTTCAGTTTTTTTAGGTTTTTATTATAAAGAAGAACAATAACATGATTAAGCATAGTGATGGTGGAGATTAACGCTAATGATTTTTTTTAGTTAGATTAAACAAAAAGCTAAACTTTTCATATTGTTTCAAAAAGATTTTACCTCTCTAACAACAGCCTCAACCCCATGGAAGGTTCTGTTGATGGAATCTTCGACTTGTTTACGCTTTATTGTTAAGTTTTTAAGCTCATAAGTCGTGTCTTTTTTCTTAAACTTGAACACATTCCCGAAATCCATCTGTTTGAAACAACGTCTCTCTATTGTTAATTAATCTCTAATACACTAATCATATAATCCAACGCACGAAGAGGTTTCGAGGAAAAAAATAAATTAAAAAGCCACCTTTTTCGTTTTGGGTATGGGAATTGAGTAACGCACCATCGTCTGCGTCTTCTACAAAACGATTGATGATGTAACTCGTTGATGAGAACGAACGAAGAAGAAAACGCAGAAAAGGAGGAGTACAGATTTCCGAAATTTAAATTTATAACCGGAAAACGAAATATGATCCTCATCCTATTCCACAAAGGAGAGGGAAAGAGTTGAAAGTTAATTAAACGAAGAAATTTATTCCAAAATTATTTCGTTTCTTTATCATTATCTGGTGTTTTTAATTATCTCTTTTAGCATTATATATGGTATTGTTTTATTGTTCTCTCTTTTTTTTGCTAGAACATTGTGGAATAAATAGGATTCATTATTCCATTATTAATAATAGAATATTTACTCTACTCAATTCATTATCCTATTTCTTTACAGTAGTTATTTATTTTACCAGCAAATATTTTAACAATTACACTCTCATTATTAAACAAATTATTGAAAAACTTGTTTATACATACATATATAACAAGTAAAAATTCTTCAATGAAAAATAAAATTTATTTGTTAAAGGCATCACAGTTTTTCTCAAATTTTTACAAATTTCACTCATCAGCATGTTTACATATATATTACAGTATAAATATTGTAGTCAACCAATGTAAATCACTAAAGTTACAAAAAAATTATATAAATCTGCATTTAAACATAGTCGACAATGAAACTTTGACTATGTATTCAATAAAAGATGAAGGATCGAGGTCGAGGTTGTATCAATATAGGTTCAGCTCGTCCTTCACCGCTGCAACTTCATGCCAACATCTTGCTCAAATGAATATTCCATGGAGAGTAATTGGTATGTACCTGCGAAAGAGAAATGATCAAATGAAACACACCAGCATATTTGTACATATGATTACGAAAAGCATTTGATACGATTTATTAAGAAGAATAATAATAATAATAATAGCAACAAAGCAGAAACCTAAATTGCTTTTGTCGATATATAAAGAACACGAATGTATGTGAACAATATTATTGCACCATTTTAATTAACTAGCGTGTTCTTTGTGACGTACGTTAATTTGACATACAACCAAAAATTAATATATTACCAAGCTAGTACGATCTGCTTCTTTCCACGCTTCTTTTTTTCTCGCCCTCTTGCGTCGCGTTTGAATGAAAAGCATCATATTTTGTTCTTCTTATTTGAAAAAAAAAATAGATTTTGTTCTTCTTATTTGGAAAAGATATATTATGAAGAACTTATGAAAAAGAAAGACCTAGTAGATCTACTTATATACAGGTAAGCATAGCGTACTATGTATTATGCGTGTTTGGTAGGGAAATTACAATTGTGGTAAAACTATAAGGTAGTCGAGATATTAAAATTACGTGTTTCTAGACACTTTTGCCTTTCATTTTTTTGTGGTGGTTGGGATATATATATGCTCTAACCTCCAACATTTTTAATACTAAAATTAGCAATATACCATACTACTGTATAGTCAACAATTGCGTATTTCTATAAAGATGCCGTCGATTTACAAGTTATATGTATATAAGCAATTTGCTTTTTATATATATGTTTAAATATTGTTTGTTTGCAAATTTCTTTTTTCTTTTCATGATCAGGTTTATTCGATCGATCTGTTTTTTTATAATTAATCCTAAGTTTCAAATTAATCCAGTTCAATATCTTCATGTGTAATTTGCGTTTTATACATATAAATAAAATCTGATGTAGGAAAAGTTCAGTTTAATCGTAAAATTTACACACTCATTATAATTTCACAATATGCAAATAGTACATGTATGTGTATGCCCAATTAATAAAGATTAACGTCAAGTCCCACAATACACATCATATGGTCAGTTCTTCTTTGTGATATATTTTTCGGGTGATAAAATTATACTGTGATACTTTTTTTTGGTTAATGGATAGTAATGTGATACTAGTACCATGCGTGACGTGCATGTGAGTCTACAGGTGTGGTTGCGTGCACTGGCGGATCTAGAATTAAGAATAGCTTTTAGAGAGAAAAGGAAAAGCAACACGCTAATAATCATATGGACTCACAAAACTAGTGAGCGAGAGCCGTTGGACAAATACAGAAGGTAACTATATATGTATTCCCAGGTTTGTCTTATATTGTTGATACTCCTTTTGATATTTATTTTTCATGGTTGATACTCGTCGGAGATACTTCTTTTTTTTATGTTGATACTTCAAGATATGTTCTTATGCTATTGGTATGATTGATTATTTTCATTAATAGTAATTGACTACATGCAAGGCTTAAATTCGCTTTTCACTGATAGGGTTTAGTTTTACCCAAATAAAACTACTGCAAACGCACAGCAAAAGTAGTTGTAGTACAAGGGGTATCGAAATCCCAAGAGAATAACGCAGACTACACTATCGAATGTCGGTTCGGATTAAGCTAAGCAAGATATGATGTATGTAATGCGAGTGAATGAATAAAAGTAAGCAAACGATTTTGTAAGATGATCTAAGTTTCAGAGGACTAAAAACGCTAAGTCAGGACAGTTCGCAGGTTGAATCCAAGAATGTATGACGCAGGAAATCAGGAATGATTAAGAACCGTTTTAAACATGAATCACTGATGCATAACTAATCAATTCTCATTGCAAAAGTTATCTATGCATAAATCACAGAGTTTCAAATCTCTTTGCAAACCCTAACAACCTAAGCATGCAGGAATGATCAGATTCAATTGTTTACAAAACTCCTAAGCCAAATCTCTTTGCACTAAGTTTTTTTGCTCATCAAATACTAGTTCAGGTTATGAATAATGCTCTCACATATATTTAACAACCTATGATTTTCGGATTCCTAGATGATGTGTCTCAGAAATTCGATTTTAAGCAAGCAGAGATGAAAAACCATAAGATATTCCTAACAGAATTGCGATTCTACAATCTCTTCATCAACCCTTGAAAAATCCCTAACTTAACTAGCAGATTACTCAGACATGATTATGAAATCACAAAACATAACTGAATAAAATTGCATTAAGAGAAAGAGTAAAAGGATAAGGGGTTCGAAATCTTCTCAAAAGAGTACAGGATTTGTCTCCCCAAAAAGCTCTGAATAAATCTCTCTCTAAGCTCTCTGAATTCTCAAAAACTAAGATCCTCGCCAACAATGGCTGAAAAACCTAATAAAATAGAGGCTAAACATGATCTGGGGTTTTCATATAAATGATGAAACTTCTGGGTCAATTCTGCAAATCTTCTTCACACTTTTAATAAAACAGCCACGCTCCTTCCTTGATGGGTGACGAGTGTCACCATATGGGATACTTTCTGCTTCGAGCTTGGTACTTCGTGGCTTCAACTCAGAATGCTCCAAAATGTTCCAAAATCTCCAATTATGCTCCAGACATGCTGTAACCTGCAAATACTCTTCTAGGACTCTAAAAAAACCAAAAAGACTCAATAAAAAGAACTTATATCATGGTTAAAAATCATAAAAACCAAAATATATCACTCACTTGTGCTGAGCAAAGTGACTTTAGATTATATATGGTCTAGATGTTTATGTATATAGACGTTCACGATATTGTTTGCAAAGTTTGACGAGATCGTTGATATGTCTTGTAATCATCGTTTCATGTTTATATATTTATCAGTAACATATAACTTGTATATTATATCATTTCATTGGGATAGAAAAAATACTTAATTGATGCACTATCTAATATTCAACGTTCTGAATAGACCAAAAAGACATCATTATGATCTTATGTCTTGTAATTATCATTTCACTGCGATTTAAAAAAATACATAACTCATTTTATAATCAACAACATCCATTATATAGTCAGCAACATTCTTAAACTATGGTAGCTTTGTTAAAATTTCAGTGCTTTCTGTTTACGTAACGTTCTTAAATCAAGACGATGAAGGATGGGTTACACTGTAGGGATGGGAAAAGAGAGTAGTAGGAACTGAAAGAGCATATATGACAACACCCCTTCAAATTCGATCAATTTTATCGTGGAGTGGTGGATATACTCACCATTTTTAAACTTAAACGCAATTTTAAACAGACGCTTAATGATTTTGAATCAAAGTGGTGCATGTTATTAAATATTAGATTTGGCTGGTGGAAACGAAAACAAACAAAATATACGACTCTGTCTGATTTGCAAGTTGCAACTAAACAACAAAGTTCAAACCAAATAAGGGTATGTGAGGTGATCCTTTCTTTCGGGAGCAAATATCTAATTTTAGAATGTTGATGGCGATTCACTTATCCACGCGGCAGCGAGTATAGCCTTTCGAAAATTAGCATTTCATATAATTAATATTAATAGAGAAATTTCATTCTATTATATATAATTAGGTGAGAGCAATTCTATTTGCAGTTTTTTAATAACGTTCACCGAAATTATAGTGGCTCGTCCTTTTTATGGAGATGGTGATTGTCAATAGTGGTAATGTTGTCGATGATGGTGTTGATGGTCGGTGGTGGTGATGGTGTCGTCGGTGATGATGGTGGTGATCAATAATGGTGGTGGTGTTGGTGTTATTAGTGATATTGGTTCACTGGTGGTCGATGGTGGTAATGGTGTTATCGATGGTGGTGGTGGTGGAAGACAGTGGTGATGTAAGTGGAAGATGGTGGACGATAATAACAATAATGTTAACATGATAGTTATCATATTCACAGTATTAATATGATAATTTTTTTATATGGTAACATTATTAACATGATATTTATCATGCTCATAATGTTAGTATGATAATTTTTTATATGCTAACATTGTTAACATGATAATTTTGCATAACTTATACAGTTAACAAAGTTAACGCGATATTTATACAATATGCTAATCGAGTATTATATTAGTTAGCACAGTTAACACAGTTAGCATAATATCATGGTAATTGAATTGTTATCTATTCAAACCGCATCAAATAATTTTAGGAGCAACATAGTCATAATTATCATATATAATATATATAAATCTATTTTTTAATTATTGATTCTATTTTTCTAATTGTCAGATAATTTTGGATTATTTACTAAA